GCCCCCAAGGCATTCTGCTGCCCAGCACAGGTCATGAATAACTCTCGTAAACTTTTCTTAATCTGTAGCATGCTGAGCCTACTGTTTCATTCTAGTGTCAGCCTGATCTGTGCCAAAGGTAATTTCTCTGTGTCATCTGTTGTTGGCATGGCCCTTTTCTAGCTCGTGCAGTATGTGGCCCAGTTGGATCCCCTTGGCTGTTCCGCCAAGTCCCTGAGCCCCCCACAGGCCCTGCTGGACACAAGCCCCCTTCCCGGTGGCTGCCCCACTGCCCTGCATCTCCTGCTGTCCCGGCCAGCAGTGCTGAGCTGAACTGTGTCCTGTGATCCCTTCTTCAGCCAAGGGGCCTGGGCCAGCTGTCTCTGCAGGACCCTACCTGAATAAGCAGCTCTTCTCTCCCCTCCTGGTACAGGACTCACTACCAGAGAAGCTGGCTGTGCACGAGAAGAATGTCCGAGAGTTTGATGCCTTTGTAGAAACCCTGCAGTAAAAGTTGGTGTCCTCGAGTACCAGCAGCACCCCCTTTCTGTGGTCCCACTCATCAGCTGCTCCCCTCCCTCATCTTGCTCCAGGTGGAGGAGAGGCTGGTGTCCCCCATGGGGACCCGGAAGTCCCTGCTCTCACACCTCCTGGAGACTCTATGGCAGCAGGCAAGCCCGGTGATAGCATTTGAGAGGACTCACCCCCTGGCCTTGGGGATCAGAAGACCCTTTAGGAACAAAAGGGCCCTTGGCAGGGCCATCTCCTCACACCGCCCATCAGCACCTGCTTCACAAAGGCTGTCATCCTGTTCCTCCTGCCGGCCCCCTGCCCTGGGTCTGCCGTGCAGCTGGCCCTTTGCCGGCCTGCCGTTTACCACTTGACATTCCAGCTGGTGGCCCGGACCTAGTGTGGAGGCAGAAAGAGGAAGGAGACAGTGCTGGGAGGAAGAAGGAAGGGCTCCTTCAGGCTCTTTTTTTTTTTTTGTCCCTTTTGGTTTGTTGTCTTCTTCCCTCCCTCCCTCTCTCTGCCCCTGTGCCTGCACTTTTGGCAGTATGACAGGCCTCTTGCCCAAGGTGGTGAGAACTGCAAAGTCAGCCATTCCCACCATCTCCACAGAGACCCTGAGCAGCCCTGGCTGCTGGCTGTGCTCAGCAGCTCAGCTCCATTGAAAGAAACAGAAGCCTAGGTCTCCAGGGTTCTGTCATTGGGAATTGCAGCAAAGTTTCTTTTTCTCTCCTTCCTCCCCCTGTTGCTCTCCTTGGTTATAAGACATGATAAATATTTATTACTTTCAGAGAAATCAGATATTTTATAGAGAAAATATGTTTGAGGTTAGATGTTTTCACTTGGGGAAGGTGGAGGGCCTCTTCCTGGGGTATGGCCTCCTCTGTGGAGGCTCCTCAGAATCTGGGTTGCTGCTCTGAGGATCTTCCTTCCCATATACATAAGGTGGGATCCACGAATAGGGCTGGCTGAGGGCGATGGAACCTCCCAGAATCGCTGCACTTGAACTGACGACAGGCTTTACCTTAGTCTTCTGTGTATTCCTGGTGAGAGCCTTGAATCTCTCCCAGCTTCTGCAGAGTAACTGACTCCATTCTGGCAGCCCAGGAAGTCTTGGGTGCTAAATGCATATAACTCTGTGAGTACAGTTCTCCAGAGTTGTGTGCAGTGCACATATGATGCATTGTATGTGCCCCACTGTGGCCCCAAGGAAGGCCAGATGGGCCCCTCTTTCTGGAGGGACTTGTTCCTGTTTCTCAGGGCTAGGTTATGGGCCTTTTCCTCTTTCTACCTGGGCCTGGCTACCACCTTTCTTTAATCCCAGGGTCTGCACCCCGCCCTGAGGTTTACTAGCTGGATTGGTTCCTTGTTGAGAAACCAAAGCTAGGCGGATGATTGACTTAACCATTTAGGTATTGTTACTTAAGTCAGTCAAGCACCTAGCCTCATGTACCTGCCACCTGTCCCTCTCCCAGCCTGACTGGCAGTCCTGGCTGAGGCAAAATTCCCCCTGGCCCACCTGGGCTATTCACTGGCAGCAGCTGTTCTGCAGTGGAGCAGGTGGTCCTCAATGGCTTGTTAATAAATGCATGTGACATTGTTCCCACCTACAAGGCTGAATGCTGGAGGGGGCTCTGATACTGTTTCAGGTGGGCTAAGCCCTGCCCCTGTTGCATGCGTTCTGCTGCCACAAAGAAATGTTCCCAGCAGCGGTATCCAACTAGCCCTCATATCTGGGCCAGAGTATACCCATGGCCTGCTAAACCAATCCAGATTTACTCCCGAGGCCCCAGTGCGGAGAAGGGTGAAGCCGTGGTAAAGCTATTGATTGCCCCTGCCCCCATGTCTTACCACAGTATCTCAGCCACTGGCCTTCTCCTGAGGAGGCCACAGGAAGGCCTGTTAGCCATTGTCCTCTTTGACTCCTGATTGTTGGCCTTTACAGGCAGCAGCCTTTCCTTTAGAACCCCATCAGTGAGAGGCCAGGGAGGCTGAGCCCTGAGCTGAGCCTGGGAGGAGCAGAGCAACTGTCAAGGCTGGCCCTTGCCCCTCAGCCCCATACACTGACAGGGATGAGCCCTAGACTGACTCCGGTAGCACCCTGGGGACAGGGTTGGGGCCTGTCACCCGTCTCCAGGTGGCAGGGTCCCTCCCCCTCCTCCAGCCCACCTTGTTTGGAAATACTGAGCTATACTTTAAAATGTATTCAAGAGATTTCCAATAAATTTTTTCTGTACTTTACAGCCTCCTGTCCTGCAAGTTGTTTAAAATGCTAACCCCGCACTCCCACTTATCTGCAGGTCCTGCCTGCCTGGTAGCTGTTCGGCCCCTCCGTGGAAGGGGAAGGAAGGGCGGAATGGCTTCCCTGTCAGGCAGGTCTTGGCCACCTAGCAGCTGTAGAGCCTCACTTCCCTTGGCTGTACGTTCCCATTTGGGGGGCTTCTTTGTGAGTAGTCCGTGAGATAATGTGCATGAAGTCGACATGCACCACAGTGTCCACCTTAGAGGCCATCAGCATCAGCTCTTTGTGGCCCCCCCGGGCAGCACAGCCCACCACTCAGCCTGGAGCTGTAGCTTTCGGCTCAGGCCTCTGCTGTGTTTCCAGCAGGGCTAGACAGGGAATGTGGGCTCCGTAAACTGCCCTCTGTTTGCTAATCTAGGATGAGGAGTTGTGGCCGAGCAAACCAGACAGAGGGGAGGGGATTGAGTGAAGTATCAGGAAGTCAAGGGCCTGTCAAGGGCAGTTTGTTCAGCTGCCCCGATCTGACAGGCCGAGCCAGACACCGAGGTGGTCCCCGAGGAGTCACAAGTAGAAGAGCCTTGCGGGAATTATTCCTGCCTGGCCTCTTGGGAACTTCTGTGGCAGGCATCTCGGCCCTGGTAGAGCTAGCTCCTGACTCCGACCTTGTGCCTGTGCTGAACGACGGGAGTGGGAGGGAGGTGGAGCTAGTGTCCCAGAGGCAGAGATGGTTCTAGAGGCAAGGGACTAACTGCCTGACAGACCAGGGCAACTATTGTGTGGGTTGCCTCCCTGCCCCCTTCAGGCTGAAACTAGGGCAGAAAACGGTTCGAAAATTCTAAATTCAGCCAAAACCTAGGGCTGAAAAGAATGAGGCGGCCCACTGCTGCTGTTGCAGGCCCTGGGAGCCCTACCTTGTTAGCTAACTGTCCCTGACATTGGCCGTGATAACTGCAGCCAGTTGGGACAGTCACCCAACCCTGAGTCAGAAACAGTGAAGAGACTGTCCATTGTGTCTTTGCCTCCAGTTGGGATTCCCCCACAAAAGCAAAGTGCTCACTTGCCTTGTGTCTCATGATGGTGTCCTATCCCTTTAAAGCATCTCCCGACACTGCCCCCAGAGACCTGCTGTTGCCAAGGCAGGGGGAAACTGGCTCTTGAGTCACTCAGCAGAGGCCCTGCCAGGAGCCCAACCAGAGTAAACAGCTCTCCTGGTGTCCTGCTCCCCTCTGTTTCCCTGGGATACTGCTGCTCTGTTGTAAGCAGTCACCCAGTGTAGAGCTGAGCAGAACTGGTGAGAGGCTGCCCATGCCTTCTGCTGGAGCTCCCTGGGCAAGGGCCGGTTGTACAATGAAACTAGTTTCCTGCAGCTCCGTGCCTGTTTTTAACCTCGGTCTTAGCACCACTGCTTGATCCTGCAGCTCTGGCTGGGCTCCCCTGAGGCTACCATTACCTGATTGCAACCAACAGGCAGGCAGCAGACAGGTGGAACTTGACCTTGACCGCCGTGCCAAGTGAAATTCTGGCCTGCCCTCCCAGTAACAAACCATTATCTTTAAAAATTGTGGTAAAATACACAGAACTTAAAGTTTACCATCTTAATTTTTAAAGCACAGCAAAACCTGCTCAAGAAAGGAAAGGAAAACTGGCTATCTCCTAGCCGGTATGGGCCTGGGTGGCAGGTGGAAATAGCCAAGGCTCTCAGGCTGGAGGGAGGGTGGGGAGAAGCAGATGGTCACACAAGGCTTCTAATCCTAGCAGCTACATGAGGTTGGGACCATCTCCCCATTCCTCTGTGAAACAATGGTCCTTCTGGTCACCACTGGGCACTTGCTCTGTTGTGCCCTGTGTGCATTTCTGATCCTCAGAGAAATGAAGACACAGTCTCAGGTGGGCTGGTAATACGGCTGTTACTGTTTGGAGCTGGTGGAGGGTGATGGCACTGGGACTCAAGCCCAAGTCTGACTCTAAAGCCTACACTGCTGTCACCACAGTGCCCTCTGTTCAGGGACAGAAGAGCCGCTGGTCATGGGACACAGCACTTGGTGGCCAGTTTGAATGCTGCACATGTACAACACGGAGGGTCACCGTTCACATGTCCAAGGCTGGAAGATACTAGAAAGTTGGTTTCACACCCACTCAAGGGAACAAGACAAAGAAGGAAGGGGTCAGATGGACTAGGGAGGGGACTTCCTGAGGCCCCACCTGTTCATCTTCCACAACCACACACTTCCCGCTCTGAGCCTCCAGGCGTACTTCCTAACACCCAGGTGGGCAATTTTCCATCTCCTTTTTTTATTGAAATACAAAAAGTGCAAAGGTGAAATACATGATTGGTGCCAAGGAAGTCATTAAGTGTGAATGTGAACACTTGATTCACAGTACTCTCCCCTCCCCCGGGTACAAGACCAGTGGGACAGGGTACAGGAGAAAGATCAAATAGATCCACGAGGCTCCCGAGAAAGATCAAATAGATCCACGAGGCTCCCCAGTAAATGGGGCTGTGCGCAACACCTGGTATACAAAGGAGGGCAGAAAGCAGAGACCCAGGCTCGGGCTACAGAGGCGGGGACCGACAGGGAACCAGCAGCCACTCCAGGCCCCCGGGGTCCTGAAAAGCTAATGTCCTGGGGAGACAGCTCAGGAGTCAGGACCCAGGCCGCACCCATCTCGCAGATGGGGCTGGTCTGGTCAATAAGGGCTGCACAGTACAGGCTCTGGCCAAGGCTGTGAGGGCAAGGCCACTGAGCAGGTCCTTCCCTCTGCTGCCAGGGGACAAGGCTGCAGGAAGTGGGGTTCCCAGGGTTCACCAGGAAGGCATGTAATTCTAAGAGACACAGTTGGAATGAGAAGTACCAATCATCAGGGTCTGGGTTTTCTGAGAGACGATAGGGCCCTGGGGCCCATAGTCCCCTACCCCAGCGGGTTGATTGAATTAGTAAGGTCTCCATTCGGCCCCTCCAGGAGTCCCTCGCTGGCAGAAGAAGCCACAGATCCTGAGGCACTGAGTTGCTTCTGGCCAGAGCAGAGACCAGTGTGACCCCACAACAGACCTGTCCACAAGAGTTTAAGCTGAGAATCTGTGCACGTGGGAAGGGAGGGAAGGCAAAGCAGGGGGAGCTGAGACTGCTGGTCACTGGCCCAACCAGACACGGGCCTCTGGGTAGGAATGGGGTGTCTAATACCAAATGGATGCTGGGACTCAGCCGTATCACCCTGGCTGCCAGTTCTGGCAGAGCCAGGGGGCTGAAACACCCTGGGGGCTGTATCACTTGAGAAGGGCTGACCTAGGACGTGTGGAAGAGGAGGCAGATGTAAGAAGCAGACCCTGGCCTTGCCAGTCCCTAGCTGTGTCAACACCCAAGGCTAACCCATTAGAGGGGAGGACAGCTGCAGGTGCACGAACACAGGCCTTCACCCAAGCAAGGGGGTGCTTCTGCAGGGCCGGCCCTGGCCAGCTCAGCTCAGCTGCTTATTCCCCAGCAGCCGGGAAGGGGAGGACCAGCCCCAGCTACCAGCCCAGCTGGCAGTGATTTAGGCATCTGTAGTTGCCAGGAAAAGAGAGGCAGGAGAAAGTGGGTAAGCAGTTGCTAGGGCCAGTCTTTTTCCTGCTGGAAGAGCCAAGGCCAGCTCTGCAGAGCCTGGCAAGGAGCCAGGGATCCAAGGAGGCAGTGAGAAATATAAGGCCAAGAAAAATGTCCCGTGGTTATAGCGAGGCTTCCAGGGCTGGCGAGGTGGGCTGGACAGAAGGGGAGGAAGAGCTGCCCAGTCGGCTGGCCCCAGCTTCCAGCTCCCAGGGCCTCATGGCCCCTTCCCGGGCGGGAGCCCCAGGCTCCTGTAAGGCTGAGGCCAGGAGGAAGAGTCCTAGTCGGGGCTCTCAGAGAAGGGGCAGCAGGGCAGGACTCAGAGCCCCCTGGAGTCAGGGCTGCAGAATAATTCCCCTTGGTGATCCAGAAGGAACTTGGTGAATGTGTTGATGGGATTAATGGCCTTGAGGGTGATGGCAGCATCCTTGGCCCACAGCAGGTTAGGGCCGAAGACAACAGCCAGGTTAGTGTTGGTCATCTTGTTCAGGTCAGAGTGGGCAGAAATCTGTGGAGAGAATCGGGGGGCCTTAGCAGGGCCCACAGACCCACCTCCCAGACCCGGGAGCAGCAGGGGTGGCAGCTCCTCCCCCGGCCCTCTCCAGGTGAACAGCAGAGGCTGAGGCCAAGGTCTCACCTGCACCAGGAAGGCAGTGAGGAAACGGAGCACCTGGTAGTTCTCCTCAGGCAGCGTCCGGAGCACCTGCAGTGTTGCTTCCACTCTCTGGCTCTCATCAATGTCTGCAAGGGACCGGGGCCCAGGTCACGGCAGCCCACAGCTGAGCCGACAGAGGGGAGGGGAGGCCAGAGGGGAGACCCCAACCAGACTTTCCTGGGAGGACAGGCCAAACCTGCCTGCTCTGAGTCCAGCCCTGACCCCAGCTCAGCAGAAAAAGCACAGAGCTGGGGAGGGAAGCAAGGGGCACTCACTGAGGAAGCCCACCACATGGGGGTAGAGGTCAAAGGTGAGCAGGGGCTCAGGAAGCTCCCGGAGGAAGGTCTTGAGGATGACTGCTGGCAGGTGCAAATCGTTGTACTGGTCGAAGTCCACCGGCAGCCCTGAGGGGAGAGGGGAGAGAGGAGCTGGGCCTAGCCTGGAGGCTAGCAGCCCATCTAGAGGCCAAGCAGCCCCACTTCCCAATTGCCTGCAGCCACGGCATGAGCCTCTCCTCCCTCAGAGCCTCTTCTTACACAGGCCTTCCCCCTTCCTGTGTGACGAGGGGACCGGGTAGAATGGGGCCCCTCAGCACACACCACAGTTATCCCTCATCTCTGAATGAACCTGAACCTGGGACCCAGAAGCCTAACAGAGGAGGCAGCAAGCCTGGGATAGCCAGGCAGGAGGGGGACCCATGTAATCCTACCAAATGCCACAGAACCTCTGACAGGAACAGAACAGGGGACCCTTGTTTATAAGGGAACAGAAGACAAGCCCCTCCCAGTCCCATACATGCCCCCATCCCCCACACACACGATCTATACTGGCCCTGCCAGGCACACCCCCCAGACCACTCACCCATGTTGTACTTCTGCTGGACTTCCCGTACAACTTGAGTGTTGGCCGACCTCCGGAAAATCCCCTCAGTGGTGAGAGCTGGGAAACAGTGGGTCCTGGTGAGTCTTAGCTCTAGGGCAGTGTATAGACTCCCTGACCTGCTCTGTCTCAGGGTGCCAGGCAGGGTGGATGTGGGCCGCTGAGCCTCTCAGCCCTGCCCGGCAGGTTCCAAAGGGGAGTCAGGGTCGGGGCTGAAGGGGAAGGGGCAGGTCCTTGAGGTCCTGTGGCCAGCGGCCTTGGCACTCACCATGGGCCTGCAGGTAGGCAATGGTCTCCCGGAGCACGAGTGGGATCGGATCCTGCTCTGGGTTCTTCTCCTGGAGGCTGTTGGGAACGAGGGCAGTGAGCTGGGTCTGCAGCCCTCTGTGGTGCCCACATGCCAGGCTCACCCACCTCTCCCATACTCACTGCTGCAACGAGACCCCGAACTGCTGGTTGGGCAGAGGGGGCCGTGGTGGCATGGGCTTGGGGGCTGTGGCAGGGCTCTTCTGTGTGGACTTGAGGAAGTCATCATACCTTGGGGAAGCAGATGGGAGGATCAGGCGCCCAACCTGACTTTGGAGTTGCCTTGTCTGTCAAGTACTGACTGTGCTGTTGCACATGGTCACTTCACTTGACCCTCCTAGTGTCCCCACCTTACACCCGACAAAGGGCTGAAGAGCTGCAGTCATAGAGCTCTTTAAGTGACAGAAACAGGATCTGAACCCACTCTCTCTGACCGTGTCCACTGTCTCTTCATCATTACCTCTACTTCCTCTGCCTACCCCAGGGTTCTCAAGGCTCCCTCTCCCTCTGGTTGACACATTCTACCCACACCCCCCAGCCTGACACACATGTACACCGTGCCCAGCGGGCACATGCAGTCCCTGCCATGCAGTCCCTGCCCCCGCCTCACTTGAGCACTTGGCGAGGGATCCCCAGTTGCTCCAGCTTCACATGCTCACTCAGCTCACTCAGGTAATTCACATAGAAGATCTTCTGCCCAAACTTGAAGCTGCCGGCAGAATAAAGGGCAAGGGTCAGTGGTGGGCCCGTTTCAGCAGGCTTCCACCGTGCCCTTAGTAGCCCCCCGAGATCAGGAGAGCCCCCAAATGGCCTGTCCCTGGGATGCTTGGCCTCCTCAGGTATCTGGTTCAGAGTTCCAAGGGAAGCACGGGGAGGCCACTGCCCTCCCCCATCAGCCCGCTCACCTGATGATGGGCTTAAAGAGGATGAGCAGGGTCTTGATGAACATGGTGGGGTGCACAATGTACAGGGCCTTAATATTCTTCTTGTACCTGCAGGGAGGGAACAGGAACCCAGCAGTGGGTGTGGTGGGAGTGGCACAGAGCGAGGTTTTTAGTGTCTTTCTGATCTATGTCCTTGGGGAAGTGCCGTGGTTGTCCCATTTTACAGATGAGGAAACAGAGGTTTAGAAAGGTTAAGTAACATGAAAGGTCACCGAGCGAGTAAGTACAGACATTGGGATTTAAGCCCAGGATGTTCCAACTTCAGATTCTTTGCTTCTACCCAGGTGGGGGCAGCTGGCTCCCCCTGGCATGGAGCGAGCTCCCGAGCCAGCAGAGGGCAGCCCCGGCCCTGGCAGAGCTGCTGGTTCCCGGGCCATCTGCCCCCAGGCCCCAACCCACTTGGGCCCCAACCCACTTGCGGTCAAACTCGCGGTACGCGTCCCGGAGCCAGCTGAGGGAGGGCTTGTTGTCGCTGGTCAGGCCATGGTGCAGGTAGAGCAGCGTGTAGTCACTCTCCACATACTGGTCCAGGGTGTGCTTCAGGTACCTACAAGAGAAAAGCCCCACTCAGCCCTCCCTCGAGTCAGGAGGGGCCCCCCTGCCTCGATCCTGTGCCTGCCCACCAGCCCCTCCCCTGTGCTGCCTATTGTGGCTAGGCTGTGTGGAGGAGGTTCAGGGTAGTGGCTGCGCTGGGTGGAGGAAGAAGCATGGTAACAAACAGCCCTGGCTAGAAACCAGGACACCAGGACTGGAACTGGAGCCCTCTCGCATACCTGTAGGAAAAATGAGAGTAAGACTCCCTGCAGGACTGCCCTGAGTTAATCATGATGATGACAATCACCGTTCATCGATATTTAGCTTTTCGTGTCTGTCTGCCAAGCAGTCTGTGTACAAAGATGAGCCCTTCCCCATAACATTTGGGGTTGAGATTGTCCCCTCTTTACAAATGAGGGCAGTACAGTGAGGCTCAGAGAAATTAAGTGCTTGTCCAAAGTCACAGAGCTTGTGGTGAAGCCTGGAGATGAACTAACCCCAAAGTTCACCCTTGACTAAAGGGTGAACCTCAACCTCAACCTCCCAACACAAGCCATAAAGAGAAGATCGTGGTGGCCAGAGGATCCCCATCCCTGCTCTAGTCACTGGACCTTTCATGGACAAAAGAGCCACATCTCAAGTTCCCTATGTTCACAACGCAGTACCTGCCACCTGAACACACACATACAGAAGTGTGGAGCCTGCCTGAGGTGGGAAAGTATGAAGGGAACAGACAAGAACTCCAGGACAGGAAAGGAGTCCAGGGAAAGTTCTTTCTGGTTGGCCAACCACTCCCAGGCCCCAGCACAACACTACTCCAGGCTGGGAGGCTGGGCATCCAAGAATGCTAAGGACCTCTGAGGGGAGGTAGGGAAGGAGGGAAAGTGGGAAGGTATCCAAGGATTTGAGTAAGTGCTCAGATACTGCCTGACCTAACCCAGAGAGGGTATCCTCAATCATGGTCCATGGATGCTGATCTCAGCCCACACAGGCAGCCATGTGAAGTGTCAAATGCTGGACTATTACTGTGGTTCCAGTCCTTACTGCTACATGGTAATCTAGCCCTTGTACCTACTGAGTACTTTGCAGCTTGCAAAGAGCTGTCACATAGAAAGATGGGCTTTCGCAACTATAAAATAGCAAAAATTGTAGTGAAAACACACTCCTTCTTTGCTAGATGTTATGGCCTTTTGGAAGGCAATAAAGTGATGTTTATCAGAAGCTAAAAAAATGTTCATACTCTTTGACCCTCTACAAATATATCCAGGAAGTTACCCTAAAGGAACAATCAGAAATGAACAGAAGCATTTTTTGTAGAAGGCTGTTCACTGCAGCCTGTTTTATAATGGAAAAAAGATTTTTTTTGAGCAGTAAGCTAATAACTGTCCAAAAGTAGAGAATTGGTTAAATAAATTACAGGCCATCTATAAATAGAATAACTCACAGGATGTTTCCGCAGACAGAACCCATCTGTGAAGTTAGGTGTCAGGAGAGCGGTTACCCCTTGGGGTAGTGGCTGTATGAACAAAGGGAGGCTTATGGGTGTGGCTGATGTGGGTATATGCAGTTTCTGAAAAAATCATCAAGTAGTATGACAATTCACTTTTCCGGACACGTCTGCCAATAATATGTTTTTAAAAAGATGTCTTGAAGAGTGTTTAGTGCTCAGAAGGTAACGTTATGTAAGATACAGAAGTGACTATACAAAGATCTCTTTAAGTTATAGAAAAAAAAATAAGTAAATACACGAAAATAGTGGTTTTCTCTCTGGGTGGTAGGTTTAGGGAGATTTTTATCATTGTCTATATTTTTTCTTTATAACTACTTACGTTTTTCTAAATCTTTGAAATCTGTAATACTTCACTAGTGTATACAATGGCATTTCAGGTGTATTCTCTTACCTAATGCTCACAACAACCCAGGGAGGTGAACACAATTCTTATTTTTATTTTTATTTATTTATTTTTTGTTTTTTTTTTATTATTTATTTATGATAGGCACACAGAGAGAGAGGCAGAGACACAGGCAGAGGGAGAAGCAGGCTCCATGCACCGGGAGCCCGATGTGGGATTCGATCCCGGGTCTCCAGGATCGCGCCCTGGGCCAAAGGCAGGCGCCAAACCGCTGCGCCACCCAGGGATCCCCAATTCTTATTTTTATAGGGCTCAGAAGAAACCTGTCCCCAAACACATGGCTAGTAGAGGCACCATGAAGTTTAACTGGGCTTCTGAATCCAAGCTTTTTCTTTCAGCCCCCCAGATGTGGCTGGCCAGTCAGGAAAGGCCAAGGCTGTGATCATGGGGCTGATCCACACTGAAAGCGCTGACCTGCAGGCTAGGTGGGGGCAGGGAGACCCAACCCAGGAAGGGATGGAGGACAGACAGGATGGATGGTAGAGGGCTTCCAGAAGTTGGAGGAAGTCCCCGAATGGTACAGCCTCACTCAGCAAGCTCTCTCCTGAAAACTGGGTGCTTTCCCATCTTCTTCCTCTGACTTCCTCCCACTCGCACTATTATCTGGCCAGGAGTCTGTCACCTGCCAACTCAGACGCTGTGTTAAACCAGAGGGTAGGGTGTGTGACTCAGCTACCCTCAGGCTGAGCTGCCTGGCCTGTTTCTGGCTGGGCCACGTGATGCGCCTGAACAAGGCTCTGCCTGCCTGGCCAAGGGGTGGCAGGAGATCGGCTCCGAAAGCCTGAGAGAAAAGTCACACAAGGCTGGAAAGCCTCAAGCCTGGCTCACCAGGACTGCAGACTCTGTACTCAGGCCCTTCCCCCTGGCCTGTCCCTGACCTCTCACCAGCCCCTACACACACACAATCATTCCGGATCCCAAAGAGCTGGTATGGGCAGTGCAGACACTTTCAGTTTCAGGAAACGCTTTAAAGAGACAAGGAAATAATTGCAAGATGGTAACTGGACACACATCAAGACACCTCAGAAGTTCGTTACGACTCTGCCTCCATGGAGGTCCTGTACCTCCGTGCCGGGGGCCCACTGGGGGCTCAATAATGAGTGCTTATCAGAACAGGATCTGTCAGGGGCACGAGGGGGCTCAGTCCGTTATGTGGCCAACTCTCGGTTTCAGCTCAGGTTATGATCTCAGGGTCATGAGACGGAGCCCCATATCAGGCTCCACATTCAGCATATAGTCTGCTTGTCCCTCTCCCTCCGCTCCTCCCCCTGCTCTTGGCTCTTGCTCTCTCTCTGAAATAAATAAAATCTTTAAAAAAAGAACAAGGTCTGTCAAAGTCCTGATTTCAATCAGCTTTCGGACCGGCATCAGATTTCTAGACCAACCAGGGAAACCTGGGTGGCTCAGCGGTTGAACGTCTGCCTTCGGCTCAGGGCATGATCCCAGAGTTCTGGAATCAAGTCCCGCATCAGGCTCCCTGTGGGGATCCTGCTTCTCCCTCTGCCTTCTCTCTGTGTCTCATGAATAAATAAATAAAATCTTAAAAAAAAAAAAAGGATTTCCAGACCAACCAGAGCTGTTGTATATTTGCTAACAGAACCCAGATAGATACAAAAGCCAGTGGTACCAAATTTGGCACAAAATAACACTATCCATGTAAATGATGAACAATTGCAACCACAGCAGAAGCACCACATCATCATAATCAGTCCTCACACATGGACAGTATCTTACTGTGTTCAGTAGCATGTTCATGTGCAGGGTGTCACCCCTAGGAAGAAGGGCTGTGTTTTGCAGGAAAAGTGGCTTAAAGAGATGAAGCCACAAGCCAAGGTTGCAGTTTCTCGGATTAGAAATCAGGACTGACTCCTGGCCCGGTGTTCTCCCCAAGATGTAAAATATCTCCCCCCGGAAGAAGAGGGGAGGCACCGAGGGAGGTAGTTTGATACCTCTGGGCTGGAAGTGATGGTAAAGAGAATGGCATGAGGAGGTACTGGGGATCTGGGCACAGGTCTCACCACCTTCCCCGTGGGTACTCACCCCAGGAGCTTGCTATGGTCCAGCTGGTGGCTCGGGGGCATTCGGCAGGCACTAAACACAATGATCTTCCGCCCGTACTTGTCATCTCCTAGGTGTGGAGAAAGATGGAGCACGGTGAGTGGAAGATCCATCGAGAGAAGTGGGGTGAGGAACTGAAGGGTGCCAGGCTGAGAGACCTGTACCATGCAGTGCAGGGGCCAGAGCGGCCGAAGCAGATATACCTCTGGGCAGCTGTCTGCACTCAAGGCTGTGCCACTGAAGAAAGAGGGACAGGTTGCTCTCAGGGCTACTGAGTTGGGGTCTAAAAAAAATAACATAACTTTTTAAAAAGTTACACCTGGTGGAAACACCCACATGCCCATCAGTGCGTGAATGGATAAAGAAAACATGGTATATCCGTGCAGTGGAACATTGTGTGGCCATAACAAGGGATGAAGTACCTACAGATCCATGGCTACATTGTGAATGAACCTTGAGAACATTATGTAACTGAAAAAAGCCAGACCCAAGAGACTGCCTATTTTATGACTCCATTTATGTGAGTTATCTAGAAAAGGTAGACCCACAGAGGCAGAAAGCTAATTAGTGGTTGCCAGCTGCTGGGAAGAGGGGAGATTAGGGATGGCTGCTTATGGTTATGGGATCTGGCAAGGGTATGGATGAAATCGTGGGACTAGACAGAGGTGCTGGCTGCACAACATTGTGAATATACTAAATACCACCGATTGTACATTTTAAAATGATTAACTAAAAAAACTGAGTCACACCCACCAAAGCAAGACCATGCTTGGGACACCTGGGTGGCTTAGCGGTTGAGCACCTGCCTTCAGCCCCGGAGTCCCAGGATCAAGTCCCACATGGGGCTCCCTGAATGGAGCCTGCTTCTCCCTCTGCCTGTGTCTCTGCCTCTCTCTATAAATATCTCTCATGAATAAATAAATAATAACTTAAAAAAAATTTTAAAAGCCCATGCCTATTCCAGAAGTGCCCCCTCTGAGCAGCGTGTATTTGGAAAACTTCTTGATGCTACCTTCTCAGCAAGTCCAAGGCCACGGAGGACATGGGTGTGACTACTTAATGGTCAGGTCTCATTTTTCTTTCCTAAAGAACACGGAGTTCAGAGGAGTTTGTAATGCTCTGGGGAAATGCTCATTTGGCTGTAATCACTCAGGGGTGTTCATCCAAAACTGGTCACTATCTGATGGTCTAATCATTTGGCTTTGTCAAGAAGGCAGGGGGCTTTTGACACATACGCTACTGCTCTCCAAGATAAGATGTCTTCCAGGGTCACCACAGATCAGGGACCCCCAAACAAAGCTTGGTGAGGACAAGGCCTGGTCCCCACTCACCCATGTCCCAGGAATCTTCCCTACATCTTTATCTCCACGCCTCTCCAGAGACACCAAACCACACTTGCCTAATCCCCACTGCTTCAGAGGCAAATGAAAATACTTACACAACCCAAGAAATGCATAGAGTCTGTCCTCCATCTGCCTCTGAGGACTAAGGACTCTCTCCCCCAGTGGCTTGCTGAGTGTCCTTCTCCATATTTAGTAAACCACGATCTTGATGCTTCTCGGTCATTGACCTAACCGAGGAGTCAGTACTTTTCCAAAGTGGTTGCCAAGGCTCTGACTGACCCTTTTCTGCAGAGCTGGGGCAAGACTCATCAGAGGAGCTGAAGGAGGTTTCTGGAATGAGGGCAGCATGGCCCCAGGCCCTGGTGGCTGCACGGCTCGATGCTTTGACCTGATTTAGCACCTCAATTCCAGCAGTCTGACTACCATGTCCAACCTCTAGATCAGGCCCTCCAACCACCTTTAGAGAACTATGAACACCTACCTGCACCCAATTCTCCTGTCTTAAATCCTCCTTTCTTCCTGAACTTCACCCCAGATAAACAATCTGGGCCCCCTGCCCTGTAGATGTTCTTCGGAATGACTCACAGGACTCTCCAGGATCATACCATGCACACTTCCAACACACTTAGGCTTGCAACCCAGTCCACATCAGGCAGCTTTAGGCCTCTGGTATTTCTCTCGCCGGAGTCTCAAGACAATTCTGCAATCCTCCTCCAGGCTAACTCCTTAGAATCCTTAAGACTCATTCCAGGCATAATCTCCTCCCAAAAGCCTGTGTCCTCTCCTCCTCCCCCCAGAGAGGTTAGCTGTCCCTTTCCAGGGTTCCCTGTTTGAACCATCACCCAGCTCTGTTGTGATATTTTGACTCTTCTGTAGAACTGGTTATGTGCCTGTCTCCTCAACTGGCTTGTGAGCAGGAATTGTGTCTCATCCATCTTGGAAACTCTCATGCTGGTCCAGAGCCCAGCATGTGGCAGATATTCAAGAAACGTTGGTACCCTGCACAAAGTCACAGGTCAGCATTACATGGTATGCATGGTTCTATTCCAGAGTTTGTTCACAATGATATCTAGGTTACGAGACTGTTCTAGACAGTTTCCCGAAGGCTGGGACAGAGTTTCTGCAGACTTAGGAGCAGAGAAGCCTCTGCAAGCACATCTGAGAAGGTGCAGCTTCATCCAGCAGCAGGTCCATTTTGAAGGAACAGATGTCACCTGCTTTCTTTCATACCCTTGTCTAGACCCCAAGGTGCTGGGTTCCCTCCAGTCCAGTGAGGGTGGCTTTCAGGCCTGTTCTGATCTCTTCCCATAGACTCTGAAAGCAGAAGGAAGACTGGCGGGGCAGGAACAGAGGGTCAGTCTGGCCAATCCAGCCTCATGCACAATCTGGAACCTCAGAAACCTCTGGGCCTTCTGCCATGAGTCTATGAGGGGAGGAACATCTGGCTACTCCCCTCTAAGCAGAGGGAAGGCGTGGAATGTAGGGGAAAATGCAGGGAGGAGGATTGGGCATTCCAAACTATTCTTTTCTTTTCATCTTACCCCCCAACAGAGGCAGCCCTCATTGGCTGGCAGATTTGAGGACTTGGGCAGGACAGGAAGTCTGAGCTCACAGGGCTCTGGAATTTAAAGAGCTAGTAACTGGTTAAGCAAGCAATTGAAGTGAGGGGCCAGGGGCCCGAGGCTCCATTGCTCAGCTGGCCTCAACACCCCATAAATGGGAAACTTTTGAGTTCTCAACCAGGGCTCCACCACCGAGGAAGGCCATGATGATAAATGAAAAATATTACAAACAAAAATGCACATTTACATTACAAAATGCACATTTACCCTAGGAGAAGAGGTCCACTTGCTCATATTCTCAGAGAGGACTCTGACCAGTTTTTTTTTTTTTTTTTTTGACCAGTTCTAAGAACCACTTTACTGGACTGTGTGCTCCCTGAAGGAGGTAATGTGTTCTTCCTCACTGAAGAACCATGGGACTTGCTCCTGAGTAGGTCTTCTAAAAATGCACTTTAAAAAAAAAAAATGCACTTTAAGTCAGAACGGGGATGGGGGCAAAAGGAGGGTTGGTGAGGGGATGGATGGCAAGACTCTCAGACAAGGAACGAGATGTGGGTCAACCCCTGACCTCCCCTCCCTGGAGCGGAGTCCCATTGCTCAAGTTCTTGGGTGGCTTGGCATTTGCCAGCAGATGCAGCCTGGGGGAGGAGGGCTCGATGAGAAGATGTGACATTTGTGGAAAGCACCAGGAAAAGAACAGCTGCCTGAGAAGGGAGCCTCTGCATTCCCCAGATACCAATCAGGAACGCTCCCAGGGTGGCCTGGGTGTTAATCAGCAACAGTGCAGTCCTCCAGCAGGCATTCTGGGAACTGCCAGACCAGCCACCACCCGCCCACAACCTGCAGAGCAGGCCAAGGAGATGGGAGGTGGGGGCTGGGGCACCGTGCTGGAGCCGGCTCACACGTTTGTTAAATTGTTAAATGGTCAGGAATACCACAGCCAGTTGACATCATGGTGGTGCTTGAAATCTGCTGTGGTAGAAATTACAAATGCTACAAATAAATAATAGCCTTTTTTTTTTTTTTCCCTTTCCAGAGAGCCAACTGTTAAACGTTTACCAGCATACCACTGGAAAGAACTCCTTTGGACTGAGTCAAATCTGACTGTGAAGCATGACAGCTTCCACCAGCATGGAGAACACAGGCTACGGAGGAGTTAGGGACATAACCCATCCTCCATTCCAACATGGGCTCTTTCTCAAGTTTCCAATACCGGGAAACTGGCCTCCTAGGACATCACCATGGTCTCATCAAACGACTCCTGCTCTGGTGGCACCAATCCATACTCTTCTCAGCAGTCAGAGAGGCAAAGCCATGGGGCCACCACCATCAGAGGGGCCCCAAGCCAGCACTGAGGACAGGCCATGGCTCACAGCCAGCGCCCTCACCCCTACCCCCAGACATGAGCTCCATCCCCAAGAGCCCCTTTCCGTTTGGGATCTAGATGTGCCCCCACACAGCATCACCCCGTCAAACCTCTTATGCTTTGCTACTTCCGGCTCCCAGATACCACCAGCTCCCAGCTCCCTGGAGTGGGGCTGCAATTAAGCTGGCCCCACGTGGCCTCCACCAAGAGCCCTTCTTGATCCACAGCCCAGAGGCCAAGCACAGAGAGCCAGGAACACACCTACCTGGCTGGGCCCCCTCAGGCTCATCACACCCTGGGGAAACAGAAACATATTGCAGCTCTGCTTGCATTGGGGAAAGGGCTCACCCAGTGCGGGGTAGGGATGGGTCCCCCCTGCTCTGCCTTGTATCTTGGCCACATTGGCCAGGAGGATAGAGACTACATTACATCACATCAGATAACCCCCCAATGCCCCCATCAGGCCCATTTCTGGAAGTGAGGAGAGAAAGTTCTGAATCTTTGGGTGACTCTCCTATGCCCAGGTGAGGACCAGACCACAAAGGAAGTCTCATCCTTGCTTCTGCAGGGGTGAAAGAAATCATAGCCAAAGCCCCTGACTCAGACCAGGGGCAGGCACCAGGAACACAAATGCCATGGAAACATCTCTGACATTACAGACAACTCTTTCAATTGCCCCATCCCTCTCTGAGCCCAGCATTCAGGAGAGAGAGAGAGTTCCCTGTGGCTTCCCTATGGCCAGAAGTCTCCAAGGTCCCTTTAGCCAGCACCACTGTGCTCCAGGGCCAAGTGCTGCCCAGCCGCCTTTGCCCACCCCATTCCTCAGAGCACAGCCATGCTGTCACCCTAGCTTACAGTTGTCTGTCCTCAGAAGTGGGAACAGACAACCATTAGGGAAAAGACAAAGCATCCTACCACTCTAATTTCCTCTTTCAGCAGTATTAGACCTTAAGGGCAGAAATCAGTCACCAATATCCTTGCTTCCTCCCCTGCTCTAGGTCTCGCATTATGAGCAAGAGTGGAAGCTCACTGAGGAGGCCAAGACCAAGGGGGGGCTCCATACCCACTCTCAGCAGGGTAGCACATCTGCCAGGAAGGTGATCCTCCAGGGGTCCAAGGGGCCCCTAACTTCTGGAAGGAAGCTCTGTTATTCCAGACTTCCTTGGAGGTAGGGTTTCTTCCAAAAGGAACTGGTACCTCCCTGGTCCCCAGTAAGTCATGGGGTAGAAAAGCTGATATCAGGCAAAGGCCACTTATTCAAGGCCAGCTATGTTTTTGCTCTCAGCTAGGCCCTGCCAGACATTCATTATTGTAATCCTCTCAGCGACCCCGTGAGGAAGAAATGAGTTCAGAGAGCAGAGCTGGAAATCAAGTCACTTTCTAACTTCAAGGTCACTAAGTCACACTGCCTCCCACACACCGTCGGCCAACAGAGACAACAGAGTCATAGGTCAGGATGTGGTTGCAGATGAAGAGACCAAGCAGTCATCACAATCAAGTCTGTGATTTTTAAAAATGGTGCTCAAGAGCCCCAGGATCAGGGGTGAGACTACAGAGTCCATACCCGCCCCTCTCCGCTCCTGCCCCTGCCCCCTTCTGCTTCTTCCCCTATGGCATGAGGGGCTGGCTTCTGGAAGCCATGAGTGCAGACCAGCCAGGAGGTAAAAGATGCAATGTTGGGTGTGCTCACCTGCCACCTCCACAATCTGGTGCCGGGCGATGTCGTAGTAAGGGTCATCCCACTTCAGGTGTGTAACAGGTTCTGGGGAGCTGCTTTTGGAGTCATCTGAGGAATACCGAAAAGTCAGGGGATAATCTGGGGGGTTGGCAGTGGCCTCCCTGAGACTCATGCTCTTTGATCCACACCCCACACCCCCAGTAGGACTTGTGCTCCCAGCCCCATCGTGGGGCTGGTCTGCTTGCCCTGCTTGTTCTCCTGGGGTCTCCCTTCAAGAGGAAGGGAATCTTCCCTTCTAAGGCACATATGGCTGCCTGAGATACAGAAGTGCCCACCTGACTTGGGAAAGTCGGGCATTTCGTCTGAGGGCCAGTTCTTCTCATCAATGGAGGCTAGCTTCAGCTGGTTCAGAGCCTGGCTTGTGTCATCCAAGTTCAGGTCATCCTGCAGCTCTGAAAGCGGGTCCATGACCAAGCCTGTCCCCCACAGCGTCACTCCACGGAACCTGAGGAGAAACCTGGGGTAGGTGAGGCAAGTCAGCGATGCCCTCTTTCCCCTTGAAACTGCTACAGCAAGCCCCCATGCTCTCCCTCTTTCCTCTCCTGTTTCTGTTCCTCAACACCTCTCATCCTTGCCAAGAGCTCCATGTAGCCCTGGGTTCTCCACAGTGTAGGCATGTTGCCAGAAAAGACAGCTGGGGCAGAGGATGGCACAGCTCAGTGCCTACCCTCAGGTCCTCCAGCTGGATAGGGACAAGCCGTGCCAGGCCCTGTGCTGCCCACTGCCCATGTGGTACAGGCTCTGTGCAGGCCCAGCTGCACAAGGGAAGAAGTCCATGCCCCTCTCCTCAGGGGTCATAGAGCACAGAAGCTTCCCAGGACCCAACAGTTACAGAGTAGAGATGTCCAAACCCCATTTGTGAAAAAGGTTAATTGTAGCTCTGGCTATTCCACCCCTCACTTTTGGCCAGGGGAGTAGGAGGTGGTGAGAGACTACAGGGTCCCAGGAAAAAAAGGCCATGGTCAAGGTGCCAGCTGGGTTTGCCCCAGGATGGGAACATGAAAGGATGGAATCTGCAGACTCTTGGGGGCTCCTGAGCCCACTCTAATCCCCAGGGAGCTCCTGATGCAAGAAGTTTCAAAGTAGGAAAGGTCAAGAGACTGCCTCAAGGATTGGCGAGCACAAATGGAAAAGGGAGAAGTCCATGGCATCCAGGACAGGGCTGGATGGACAGGAGCCTGCAGCTAGGGCAGACAGAGGGAGAAGAGCCGACTCTGGAGCTGGGTTTGTCCAGGTCTGGGGCTGACAGTAAGGACGGGGCTGCATGAAGCCAGAGGGCAGTACCTTCTGCCTTGGGCCTAACCAGAAGCCCATCCCCCTCCCATCCCAAACTCACCATGTGGGTCAGGGAGGGGATTCAATCCACTCAGTCCAACCCCAGAGGAGAGGCTGCTGTCAGCCCACTACATTCCTGGAGCCCAAAAATGACATATATGGTAAGAGAATTAGCAGGACAGATAAAGAGTGAAGACAGGACTGGGCACAGGGAGGGGGGGGAAATGCCAGCTAGGATCCAGACCCCAACACCTTTGGGCTCTAAGGCCACGTGACAACCTCCAGCACACATCACCTCACAGCCATAGGCTCTGGATGGTAAGCCGGCTCCCTATGCCTAGCAACGGCCACCCTGTTACCAGGGTAACCACGCTGATTCAGTGGCAAAAGCCATTCCAAGCTCCTGAGCCAAAGCCAAGCAGCCAAGTAGCCAAACACCCATAAAACAAAAACCAAATCCCCTTTCTCTTTCTCTCCTCTGGCCTCTGATCTGCTATCCTTACTCACTCCTGCTGCATACCACCAAAGTATAAGTCCCTTCCATGAGTACAGAGAAAGATGACCCTCTTATTCGGGAATGCACTTCTCTCAGTGAGGGCTGCTGTGCTCCACACCCCTTTCAAGCCTTCAATGCAGGCAACTCTAATTCTTGAAGAATCCACTTCTGATTCATCCACAGGCTCCTTCCCCCATTCAGCCAGATGGCTGTGAGTATTCCCCAAAAGAGGACTCCACTGGGTAACAGGGACCAAATTCAGCTCACAGTAACCCTTGTTAGGCCTGAGCCTTCTCCCCATGCCTTCTCTTCTGTCACTGCCCAGGCTCTTGGTGCCCATTAGCCCTGCCCACAGCTCTCCCAGAGAAGCCTTTCTACACACCGTGGGTGCCTGATGCAATGAAAAAGGCATGGAATGAGGCATACAGGGAACTGCTTGAGTTCTCCTGCTTGAGCCAATAAGTTGCAAAGATGCTGAGCAAGTCTTTTTCCTAACTAGATTTAAGTGTCCTTATCTATAGAAACACAGGCTCCTCCCAGAAACATAATTCTTCAGTATTCTAAAACACTTGCACTAAAGGGAACAAAAGGATTAGGAGGAACAGCTGCGAGCAGAACTATGGGTGAGGGACGGAGAGGGACACGTCCTTCTAAAGGGGAGCTGAACTTGAACTCCACCTCTTTTCCAGTAATTCCTGCACCATTTTGTCTCTTCTTCCAGAACTGACCCCTCCCCTATCCCATCACACCCCCAACCTTTTCCAGCAAAACTAATCAGTTGTTTTCAACCCCCAACCCACAGCTGCTGCTTTGTGAGCCCTGAAGTTTAGGTCCTGCTCAGTGTGAGGGGGAGGGAAGCTGGCTCAGGGAAACTCTAATATCAAGTGATGGACATGAAGTATCCCGGCCGCCTAAGACTCCAGTCACCTATGAGCTCTGTTCCACTCTGCACAAAATATTCCTTACTCTGAGATTAGTATTTCCTTTCTCCATAGGTAAGACACCTACTTACACAAAAATCTCTGAGAGTCATTTCAGGCAGAGGTTCTAACCTCTGGGCTTCTCTGAAATTCTGATGGAATTTGTGGACTTTTTCCCTAAGAAAAACCAGCAGGTGCATGAAATCTTCTATGCACCTTTAAGGAGTTCACAGGTCCTCTGGGAATCCATTTAAGAATCCCTGACCATTTCAGCCCGTGGATGCTGTCATTTGTTGAATGAATGAATGAATGAATGAATGAAGTAATCTCCTAAATGGAGAAGGGAACCAGTATTTGTTGAGGGGCTATATGGCACCATAAACTTTTAACTTCCCAACAGCACCAGTGAGGTTTATACTACTAAGCCCATTTTACTGTTTGAGGAAAGTGAGGACCAGAAAAAATAAGCAAATAGTTTAGGTGGGTCAAGAAGAGCTTGAGAAGAATCAAGCTTTTAATCTATGTCTGCATAAGGTGGTCTCTCGATGCTGGTCAATCCCTCAACACTTCTCTAAATGACTGTGATCCCAAAAGTGCAGAGAAGGGCCATAAAAACACAAAGTAAAGCCTCTCCCCCAATCTTCACGAAGACCTGAGATAACAACTTGAAATCGTATTCTCTGGCATTCGGATCGCCTTCCTGGTTGCGGTTCCAGAATTGCGAAAATGCAAACCCCATGATACAATAGCAAGGCTTTGAGCTACAAGCGCCTTGGTACGGAGCTTCATGATTTACAAAACCCGTACTGGGTGTAATTATCCCATTTCAAAGAATAAGAAATAGAGACGAAAGCGTGGCCTAGTTAGTGGCAGGCTGGAATACTTCCCCCAAATTTCTTGTACTTAGAGCTTCCCCAGATCGGACCAAAGAGACTTCCCCTTCCCACGGACTTGCTGGAAGACTGCGATGGGACCTGGACTCTACCCTAGGATTTTCTCCTAGTGCAGGAGGAAAGCAGCGAAGGAGCCGAGGTCTCGTCAGTGCTGACCCGGGAATGGGGCTGAAACCCCTCAAGAGGAAAGCCAGGCTCCTAGGCCCCATCCCATTCCTGCTCCCATCCTCGGATCCCCTCGGACCATCCCCCTCCGGACCCTGTCCCTTCCGGTGACCTGTCTAGTCCCTTCCTTTCCCCCCCCCCCCCACCACCACCCAGGAAGACCCCGCGCCCTGCAGCTCACCGTGGTCAGGCACTGCTCCCTCTGCCACGCCTGTCAAAGCTCGGCTAACATCCGGCTCCGCGGTAGAAAGGGAACCGCCCCCTCCCGGGCTCCTCACTCCCCAACCACTTCCGCCACACCTCCAACCCACTTCCGGCTCGCTGCCCGGTCCAAATATGGCTTTCCAGGATCCCCGCGCACTTCCTGCGCTTGCCGGCCTAAGGGCGGAGGGACGGGGGGAAACGGAGGGTGACAGCATAATTATCCGGCCCGTCCCTCCCAAAAGGAGGCGTTTGGAACAATTAGTTCCGCTTTCTCTGATGCTGGAATCCCTGGTGGTCCTCTGGAATCCTGTGGTTCTCTTTGTTCTAGGACAGAGTTCTGCCTCGCCTGTATTCCCCAACTCGCGGTTCCGTACTCCAATGAGTCTCTCAGGATTCTTTCCTGACAGGAAATTTGGAAGCCAATGACTGTTTCCGGGAGGAGCGGAATAGAAGACGCTCACTTCCGGCGGAAGGAGGCTTTTCTGGAGGGGATGGAGGAGGCGGAGGAGTTGCTTTCCAAGGGCGAGAGACTGCGGTTGGGTTAGTCACCTCAGGTGTTTCTGACCCCGGGCCCTGGCCTTAGATAGACCTGACGTTCCCTGCCTGGGGAACTCTCTGCCTCAGGCCCCTTTCCTCCCTAGCCCGGGATCCTCCTCCGGTGCCCTCAGAAGTCTCTGGGGGCTCCAGAGTCCTCGAACCCCCTCGAACCTCTGATGGGCCCACGTAGAACCCTTCCAGGTCCCTCAGACTGCCAGAGCCTAGCCGGATCTGCGGTTTCTCCCCGCACCTGTCCTCACCCTCACGGCCTCTTGGGCCGCCCCCTCACTGCCTTCCCATCTCCCTGCAGCCCCCGACCCGCGCCTGGGCCTGGACTTGGGATGGATCCCCTCTGGACAAGGCTGTGCTCAGGGCCTCAAAGACTTCCCGCCCGAGCCGACCCGGGCCGTCCTCGCTCTGCAGAGCCTCCCCCGGGGCTTGGCCCTTGGCCCTTCATTCGCCGAGGAGCAGCGCTTGGGGGTCTGGTGTGTCGGGGAGCCCCTGCAGCCGGGACTGCTCTGGGGGCCGCTGGAAGAGGAGTCCGTCCCCGAGCAGAAGGACGAAGGAGTGAAGCCACGGCGGAAGGAGGTATTGAAGGATAGGACTTGTCTTCTCCGTGACTGAAATTCTGGAAGAGGTTCAGCCATTTCTGGACAGCTCTTCGGTTTGTTAGAAGAAGCAGGGTATTTCAAGAGACAGGCGACGACAGTTTTGCCCCTTCTCTCCAGGACTGCCTCTTCCCCTCACTTGCAGTAGTTAAGGAATCAAGGTGCAAAAGGTTGCTGAAAGCTAGACTATAGAATGTATTACATGTGATACGTATATAATAGGACATAGTGTCAGCAGTGATGAAAGCCAAGAACAAAGGTATTTGGAATAAAAAAAAAGCCATGAAGTTAAATCCCAGCTTTGTCACCTAGCCAGTTAAATAACATGTCTCATTTAGCCCATTTGTAAGATAAAGGGATGGCGGTGTCTTTTATTTTAATCTTTCAGGGTTATGTGGAGCAATAGATGAAATAGTGCAGGTAAAGGGTTTCATTGCATAATAAGTCTTAAAAAAGAAAAGTTGTTGTACCTCTTACTACTTTTTTGGTTTGGTGCTCACTAGAGTGCAGAAATGTGTTCAATTTAGTAGTTCTCCACACAGTGGGAGGGTGAGGAGGGGTATAGTCTTTTGATCCCTACTGAGTGAAAAATCAGACAACACAGTCCTGTAGAGGCAGAACCAGAGACCATTAGCCTTCCAGGGGCTTCATATTAGATCTGTCTCAGGAGAGGTTACATCCCTTTTCTCCCCAACCCTGGTCCCCCCGCCCCCCCCCCCAAACACATGGGAGAAGGACTCTTATTGGTTTATTTCAGGACGTGTCACTAGGCCCATGGGGAGACGTGTGTGCTTGTGAGCAGAGTTCAGGCTGGATCAGGTAAGTTACAGGAGAGTATGTAGTGAAGATGGTCCTTTGAGGCTTTTTGTCATGGCATGAGAGGGAACCAGAAGCACCCTGTAATTCCCCACCCGGTGACTTTCTGCAATGAGGGTTCCAAAGGCATGGGGTCTTTAGGACTCAGACGGCCCAGAAGCTGGGGCTTCAGGGAGGGACACTTGAAGAAGGTCTTCTGAGCTAGTTCTTCCTCTACTTTGCAGTTTGGTGCAGCGGAGCAGGCTGGAAAGTGAGGGAAATGTGGCCCCGGTGCGGATCAGCAAGAAGCTTCATCTGCAGGTGTACCGGATCATACTGCCAGGCTTTGAGTTGCTCCTGTGGCCCCAGCCTCCCTCTGATGGCCTGAGCCACAGGCTAGAAGAAGAGGCAGCCATGGCTGTGCTGACAGAAGTGGACTCTGTGGTACAGCAGGAGGTGAACTCCCCAGGGGAAGATGCAACAGAACCTTGGACAGGTACATAGGAAATAAATACTGGCTTCCCAAATTATCACCCAAACAACCTATTGATAAGATAAAGTAAAGCTATGGCCCAAGGAGATACAGGAGAACATTATAGAGTCTTAGTAGGTTTTCTGAGTGGCAAGGGTAAAACTTGAATATTTATTGAAATTTTGAAGTCTGGTATAAGGCGTGTCTTTCAGTGTGTAATGGGGGCAGGGCTTGATCACGGTTGAATAAGAATCATGAGATAAGGGGTCCCTGGGTGGCGCAGCGGTTTGGCGCCTGCCTTTGGCCCAGGGCGCGATCCTGGAGACCCGGGATCGAGTCCCACGTCGGGCTCCCGGTGCATGGAGCCTGCTTCTCCCTCTGCCTGTGTCTCTGCCTCTCTCTCTTTCTCTCTCTGTGACTATCATAAATAAATAAAAATTAAAAAAAAAAAATCATGAGATAATAGTTTAGGATCCATGGACATAAGGCTAGAATTTCCAGGCAGGGGGCTCAAAAAAAAAAAAAAAAAGAAAAAAAAAGAGTCTTGGGGTATAACCTGTCATTTGATGCTTTCTATTGCAGAGTGATGGGTCTTTTCCTTAGAATGAACACTATCGGTATTTGCAACTTTTATCTTCCTGAGTAAGTTTTCTGGAATAGTGAGGTCATGTTGATGAAGACAGCAAATTGTGTATAAGGTTTCCAATTTCTTACATTTCTTCTACCTGGGATGGGGGTGGAGGTTCTTTTATTTTCAGATGAGCTAAGGTGAGGACGTGGTAGTCTAATTCATCCTAAGTGTGTGTCTCCAGAGGCATAATAGGGGCCTCTGGGATAGCCCTCTCTCAGACTATCCAGAGGTTTGGAGGACCATGGTTCCCAAGAGTGCTTCCTCAGGAGGCACCTGAGACTGGGCATGAAGATAAACAAAGCATGTGGTTCATGTTCCAAGGGAGGGATTGGCGTCATTGCCACTCCTGAAGTTCAGGGGCTGAGTAGGAGGAGACAGGTATTCATATAATTTCCTGGTGACACCATTGCTACCACCTGTTACAGTTTCTACTAACCCCAGCACCCCATTCTTGCCTTGCAGATCCTGGTCACCAGTCACCCCCCAGCATCCAGGCAGAGAGTATGGTAGGCCCTGGACTCAAGCCCCAAACCCAGGATCAGCTTTCCAAGGAGACCCAACTGCTTGGCCCGCTCCCTCAGGATGGCAGCATGGATGAGGAGGACCCAGCCCAGAAACAGATGCCACCTGAATCTCAGAGCAGCTCTGCTACCCAGCAGGGCACAGAGAGCAGTGAGTCCAGTTCCTCATCCTCTGCCAGGGACAATCAGCTACGTGCTTATGTGGTCAAGAAGTTACGTGGTCCCAGTGGTCAGTGCCCACCCAGAGAAATGACCTCGGAGCCCAGGGCCCAGCAGGCTGGAGAACAGCAACAACCTGGCTTCCCAGCATGCTTGAGGAGCCCTCCTGGCCCAGCAGGAAGCTCCTCGAAACAGAGGCGACGGTACCGGTGTGGGGAATGTGGTAAGGCCTTTCTACAACTGTGCCACCTGAAGAAGCACGCATTTGTGCACACGGGCCACAAACCCTTCCTTTGCACTGAGTGTGGCAAGAGCTATAGCTCAGAGGAGAGCTTCAAAGCCCATATGCTGGGCCACCGTGGGGTGCGACCCTTTCCTTGCCCACAGTGTGACAAGGCCTATGGCACCCGGCGAGACCTCAAAGAGCACCAGGTGGTACATTCAGGTGCCAGGCCCTTTGCTTGTGACCAGTGTGGCAAGGCCTTCGCCCGCCGGCCTTCCTTGCGGTTGCATCGCAAGACCCACCAGGTGCCAGCTCCCCCTGCCCCATGCCCATGCCCTGTGTGTGGCCGGCCTCTTGCCAACCAGGGCTCCCTGCGGAACCACATGCGGCTCCACACTGGGGAAAAGCCTTTCCTGTGCCCACACTGTGGCCGTGCATTCCGCCAGCGGGGCAACCTGCGTGGGCACTTGCGACTGCACACGGGGGAGCGTCCTTACCACTGCCCTCACTGTGCTGATGCCTTTCCTCAGCTCCCTGAGCTTCGGCGCCATCTTATCTCTCACACTGGGGAGGCCTACTTGTGCCCTGTGTGCGGGAAAGCCCTTCGAGACCCACACACACTGCGTGCTCATGAGCGCCTGCACTCAGGGGAGAGGCCCTTTCCATGCCCACAGTGTGGCCGTGCTTACACACTGGCTACCAAGCTGAGGCGCCACCTCAAATCCCACCTAGCTGACAAGCCCTACCGCTGTCCCACCTGTGGCATGGGCTATACCCTCCCCCAAAGCCTCAAGCGCCACCAGCTCAGTCACCAGCCTGGGGTACCCACCAACCCATCCTCCAGCCCACCCTCCGTGCCACCCGCTGTTTCTGAGCCCACTGTAGTATTACTGCAGACTGAACCAGAACTGCTAGACGCATGCAGGGAGCAGGACGTCTCCCCAACCCAGGACGTCTTTGAGGTCACCATTTCGGAGAGCCAGGATAAGTGCTTTGTGGTGCCTGAAGAGCCAGGCCCCACGTCCAGCCTGGTGTTCATCCATAAGGACATGGGTTTTAGTGCCTGGGCAGAAGTGGTGGAGGTGGAGACAGGCACCTAACCCCCTGCCCCCCCCCCCCCCCCCGGAGTACTATATAAAGCTAGTGTTTTCTAGCTGCTGGATGTCTGCATCTGTCCTTGGGTTGCATGTTGGAGTCTAGTCTATTCTGAGAAGCAGATCAGGGATTTCCCTTCCTGTTTATGGACTGCCACATTGTTTCCCAAGACTATAAGGTAATCCTGTTCTAGGTTTAAGAACTTTTTATTGACTTCAGTAGAGTTTGTTCTGCTTCCCTCACCAGGAACTCCTCAAGACGCTTGTCCTTTAAACATGGCGGAAGTGACCGCACCCAGTGAGGTAGTCAGGTACCTGGCAGCACTATTGCCCTACTGTGTGCTTAGTGCTGGGATCATCACTCCCACTGAGCTCCCTGAGGAGCAAGCACTTCCATTTAGAAACCAAATGGAATGACTTGAAGGTTAAAAGGCCAGAGGCTTAAAAAAAACTAGATGCTGAGTTCAGGTTATAGCTCACTGTTGTCTCTAACTTGAGCTATAGGTGGTTTAGGTGGCCACCATCCCAGGGCTGTGAAATTGTTTTTTTTTATTATTATTATTTGTTGATAGACACCAGGCCAACTGGAGGCAGCTAGAGCCAGATCTGGACCCTTCTGAAGACCTGGACAAAGGCAACCCTATTGAGGGAAGGAATGGACACAGGTCTTACATCAGCTGCGGACCTGCACCACACTGGGTGCCAGGATGCAGCTGGGAGCTAGACTGGGGTGACATTCTCTACAGAGCTCAGGATCTGCTAAGGCCGGAAGCACTGGACAAGAGTTTGCAGAGGATCCCTAGCTAGTGCTATATGGACGTGTTAGATGGGATGGTTTAACTTGGTCTGGGGCATCAAGGACATGTCCCAAAGGAATAATAATGGTAATAAATACTCAGCCCTTACTTTGGGCCAGTTGTTCATATTTATATAATCTTCATAGCAACGCTGTGAGGTTGGTGGTAGTAGTATTCAGGTTTTACAGATGAGGAAGCAGCTTTGAGTGTCATGCTCAAGGTGGCACATCTACTAGGTAGCAGAGCCGAGACAAACTCTCAACGACACTGCAGCCCTGCATCTCACTCACGATCTGATGGATGAGAAGGTGGAGGTGGTGGGAGCTGCACGTGCAGCAACCCTGTGGTGAGAGCCCGGGGGATATGAGCAACAGACGAATGTGGCTGGGGCAGATCACACAGGCCTTGCTTCAGGAGTTGGGACTTTATTCTCAGAACATTGAAGAGTTTTGAGAAGGGGAATGACATAACTAGATTTGTGTTTGAAGAGGCCTCAAGGATGGATTGGCTGGTGAGTTATGGTTGTGGGGAAATCAGTTAAGGCTGCTGAGGTGATGGGGAATTGGGTGGTGGCAGTAGAATTGTAGAGAAATGGAATCGTCAAACGTGAGCACTTTCTGCATGCTAGTTAGGGATATGGCATGGGAACAGCCTCTGCTCTCAGAGTTACATCCTGGTGTGCATAGACGAAACGTCAGATGATTATAAATGTAGTGAAAAAAAGTCATGCTGGGGGAGAGGATAAAACTAGTGTGATTTTACAGAGGGAGGTCAGGGAAGGCCTCTGATAACGAACAGGAGCAGAGATCTGAACTCCACGAGGAGATGAGCCACACTGATGTCTGTAGGACCTGTATTCCAGGGAAAGAGAACAGTATAGTATAGCAAAGCCCAGCGGGTTCAAACAAGAGCAAGGAGCAGAGATGCCTGGGTGGCTCAGCAGTTGGTATCTGCCTTCGACTTCAGGGTGTGATCCCATGGTGCCAGGATCAAGTCCCACATTGGGCTTCCTGCATGGAGCCTGCTTCTCCCTCTGCCTGTCTGTCTGTCTGTCTGTCTCTCTCTCTCTCTCTCTCTCTCTCTGTCTTTCATGAATAAACAAAATCTTAAAACACACAGACACACACACAAATGAGCAGAGTGGCCAAGGCAGAGGATGGATGGAGGTAAGGGCAGGTTGGGGACTATGGGCCATGGTGAGGATTTTGGGCAGATAAATTCTCTGAGAGAAGTGACAATTCATGGACTGAGGGAAGGAGGGAGAGCTGACTACTGGTTTCTGACTTAGCACATTAAGTGGCACTGGGGTGAGAGTAAGGATTCTGGTTGGAGGTGGGCCGAGTTTGAAGTGCCTATGGTAGAAACCACAAGCTGTCAGAAGTCTGCAGGATATAGGGAGAAAAGGCTGCTGTAGAGGGGGAGTCACGACACTAGTGACCAGGTCCTGATCATCAAAGCTGGGGTTTTAAGAGGTGAGCAGAGAGGGGGGCCAGGTTCACTTACAGGAGGGAGGCTTTGCAGGGGACACGGAAATTGCATCCAACAAAATAGAAAACCTGTCAAGTGTGTGTCACAGAAGCAGAAAGAAGAGGGTTTGACCAAAGAAGTGGGCAAGAAAGTTCGCTGTTGTCGAGAGGGTTGAAGTTTGTGAAGTCACTGAGCTGAGTAAGGACAGGTGGAAGCCAGATTGGATTTGCTTTGAGGAGTAGGCGGCAAGAGAGGAAGAACTTAGATTCTTGTCCCATCCTCTGTCCTGCGGAATTAGACGTGGCCCCTGTTTCACAGACTCCAGGCTGGAGCTGGCCAAGATCACATAACCAGTAAATGGCAGAGCCAGGACTGAAACGTGGAGTGTTCTCTGGCTTCCCAGCACTCAATCACAGTGTCACAGGCAGTCCTGTGTCTCGTGCTTTGCCACTGACATTTACCCAGCACCTTCCCAATTTGCATAGCTTGTTGACAAAGCATCATTCTGAAACTGTCCACAGGGAGGGAGGACAGCAGGAAATCGTGGTGATCTATGGAGAGAAAGGTCATACCATCCAAAGCACAAAAAATAGCTGCTGATACTAGTTTTGAGTAAGCCAGCCCTAGCTCTTGGAGCCTGTGTGAGGCTTGATAGGTCCTATTCTTTTCTAGCTCCTGCTTTGGGCAGGGTCGTGCCAGCTCAGCTGACAGCTTAGCAGTCAGCGTCTGCCAAGTGTGTTTAGGTGTCCTGGGACATTCCCACCACTCGATCCCCAGCTGTGCAGGGAGAACACACTCCTCCTTCACTACCCATTTGGTGGTGAGCTGCGTGGGCAAGCTGGGCATGCTTTGGGTCTGAGGATGCCTGTCCACACCCCACAACCTTCCTTACACCCAAACCTGGAATGCTTACACCCCCTTGCTACATCCCCCACATAAACGGAGAACTTTTCTCTCTGTTAAAGCTGTCCCTAGTGATGCAGAGTGGGGTCAGATCAAAACCACCAGACCCAAAGGCACATGGTTTGGGAGCCTCTGTTCTGCCAGGACTTACGGTTAGAGTGTGAGCAGGCGTCAGAGAGTACTGTGCAAGCTCCCCATATTGCAGAGGAAGACATGGATGCCCTGAGAGGAATCCTTTCCAAGGCTTGAGTAGCAGAACCAAGACAGAGGCCAGGTCTTCTGACCCCTAATTTAGAAGTCTTCCAGTTAAAATGCAGTGGCTGTTCTTGAAAAGATTGATCACCGGAGTAATGTTTTTCATTGAGGAAATAATCTTCAGATGTCAGAATAATTCTTGTTTATCTGAACAGTAGAGTCCCTTTATTCTCTACTTCTTTCCTTCATCCCCAGATTAAGTCACTTTTAACAGTTTAGTGGATATGGCATTCATTTGAATGCTGCTGCCTGCTGTAGGGCAAAGATGCTATGAAGTGGTGCTGGAGGACACCTTAACCTGGAGGCAGGTTTGACTGCATGGTGTCTGCAGCTGCTAAACCAAACATCAGACGGTGAAGGAGATAAGGGATCTTTTATCCCCATTTGCAACTTCAATAAAATGAGAAAATCTTACAATCATCTGAATTACATTTAAGCACCTCTAAACAAGGCAAAGCATCATGGACTGTAAAAAGCCCCATCTCAAGACAGGTTCAGGTGTGGTTCGTGACTCTACCCTTCCTTGACTGACTGCATAAATTTAGGCAAGTTACTTGGCTTCTCTCTGCCCTGTTTCCTCATCTGTAAAAAGGGGGTAACTATGGTGCCTACCTCATCAGTACTAGGTACCCGGCACATGGTGAGCAGTTAATAAATTGTAGCTGGTTACTAGTAGTATTGTTATCAGCCCTCTTAATTTGGAAGAGAATATTAAGGTGCTTGCATGTTTCCTCTAGGTATTGCTTGTTTCAGGCACGTCTGCATCACTCCCAATAGTTTTGTACTTGGGGTGCATGTCTACTGGGTTTGCTTCATGGAACAGTGAGGCTGTACTCTAGCAGAATGTCAGGGGATGAAGGTAATGCAAGGTGAAGAGCAGTGGTCTGAGAGGCATGAGTCCGAGTCCCGGTCCTAGCTTTATAGCACCAACACTACAGCCTTGGTCAATTAGCTCCCCACCTCGAGACTCCCTTTCCAAACAGTGACATAGGGAATTTGGACCAGATCATTACTTTGCAATCTCAGCTCCACCATTGAGCCCTTTTGCTAACTTTTTTTCTTCTGTGGATCTGATATATTTTTTAAGATTTTATTTATTAGAGCACAAGCAGGGTGTGGGGGAGAGGGAGAGAGATAAGCAGACTCCCCACTGAGAAGGGACCCCCCCCAACTCGGGGCTCAATCCCAGAATCCTGAGATCATGACCTGAGCCGAAGGCAGATGCTTAACCAACTGAGCTACCCAGTTGCCCCTGAATCCTAAATTTTAAGAGCTTTTGATTAAATAGAAATTCACTCATTTTAAAATGCTGATCAGATTGAGGGGGAAAAAATAAGGTATTTAACCACCTCAAAAGATATAATGTCAGCCACAAAAGAAAAAAATTATCCTTGTCTTAAGGTAAATTCACAATTTTTGAGGGTTTAAAAAAATATCCAAAAGGACAAGACCATCCTGTAGTATATGCATGGAGCCCTAGGCTGCAAAATGTCTGGATTTAATGATACCTGACCTTCTTTCCAGCTCTGAAATTCTCTGTCTTGGAACATAATTTTACTGTTTTCAGTGATTACAGAGCTTCGTTTTACAACATAGCATTGGCCTTACCCATGATTTTGTTTGACGCCAACTTGTTGGGAGAAATGCAACCCTTCATTATCGCCTTGTGCTTAGTGGGTAATATGATCCGCTTTAAGTGTGCAGGCATGTTTTTGGGGTGAGAAACAAGAGGATGTGTTCACACAAGGTGATAAAGGCCTTCACTGCTTCTGTATCTTTGGGGTAAATCCCCAGCAGTGCAATTGCTGGGTTGTAGCGTAGCTCTATTTTTAACCCTTTGAGGAACCTCCACAGTTTTCCAGAGTGGCTGTACCAGTTCACATTCCCACCAACAGTGCAAGAGGGTTCCCCTTTCTCCACATCCTCTCCAACATTTGTTGTTTCCTGTCTTGTTAATTTTCATCATCCTCACTGGTGTGAGGTGGTATCTCATTGTGGTTTTGATTAAAGGGGAAAGGAGAGAAATTGAGTGGGAAATATCAGAGGGAGACAGAACATGAGAGACTCCTAACTCTGGGAAATGAACAAGGGGTAGTGGAAGGGGAGGTGGGCCGGGGGATGGGGTGACTGGGTGACAGGCACTGAGGGTGGCACTTGACGGGATGAGCACTGGGTATTTATACTATATGTTGGCAAATCGAATTTCAATAAAAAATTAAAAAACAAAACAAAAAACAAAAGTCTAAACCAATCATAGTACTTCTATTCCTCTTGTGCATTTGGGTGTTAGTTCTCTCCTTGGTTTCTATTATCCTGAACAGTCTCTCCAACCCACCCCATTTATTTCCATGTCATGAATTTGCCAGAGAGACTGGACCCATTTGTTCTGTTGAATGTCTGTCATTCCTTGTGGTGGTGGCTAACTTATTCCTTTATCATCTGTATTTCCTATAAACTAGTAATTAAAGCTAGAGGCTCATTTAATTCAGCTTCACTATTTTAGGAAGAGCCCTTCACAGGCAGCATTGAGTATTTCCAGTTTCATACATAATAGTGGGGTTTACTGGATACTTCGTATGTGGCAGGCATTGTGATACTTTATAAACATAATATGCTTTGAAGGGGTAGCTTAGTATTTACCACAAAATGATAGACTTAACTCTGAATCCATCTAGATCAGAGGGAGACCGGTATATATGGAATCCAAAGAATTGCAGCAAGTGAGAACCCAAAGATTACAAATTCTGAGAGCTGGGGGTGCTTCTGCAGGGACAAAAGGAATGGTATAGATCAAATAAAACACAAAATCAAATTTATCAGAATAACCTAGAGTTTTCTTTTTTTTTTTTTATTTATTTATGATATTCACACACACACACAGAGAGAGAGAGAGAGAGACAGAGACACAAGCAGAGGGAGAAGCAGGCTCCATGCACCGGGAGCCCGATATGGGATTCAATCCTGGGTCTCCAGGATCGCGCCCTGAGCCAAAGGCAGGCGCCAAACCGCTGCGCCACCCAGGGATCCCTAGAGTTTTCTTTAAAAAAAAGATTTTATTTTTTCATGAGAGACACAGAGGCACAGGCAGAGGGAGGAGAAGCAGGAGCCCAATGCGGGACTTGATCCTGGAACCCCAGGACCACATCCTGAGCTGCAGGCAGACGCTCAACTGCTGAGCCACCCAGGCATCCCTGGTCTAGAGTCTTCTTGTTGGTCTTGTCATTCCTGGACCCAAACCATGACTTTCAGAATTTTCACGCTCTCTCTCTCCTCGCCAAAGAGCCCACGCTGGCCATCTAAACCATCTATCATAACTATGCAAATGACAGACTGGGAGCTGTTTTGGTTGGGTCCAGCATTTGCCATTGACAAGATGTTAGGACCCATAGTCTTCAGAATGAAATTCTCCCTGCTAATTGAATAGCACCATGATACGTGAATTCATCACCCAACATAAATCAAGGCATGAATCTGTGGAAGCAGGAACCAAATCTAAGAAGAAAGCTTCAGTTATCTTCCCAGGGCCTAGAGAACCAAAGTTTTCTGTTTTGGAATATTGTCTGCAAATAGCTTGAGGAAGACACAGCCCAAGACTTGCCTGTTAATGGTGATGTCTGCACGTGAGCATGCCATGAGCTCAGCAAGTCTGCAAAGAGATCAGTATGAGTTTTTCAGCAACAGCCTTGTGAGACAAATATTGTTCTAATTTTACAGATGGTGAAACCCAGGCCTGGCCTCCCAAACCAGTGCTCTCTTTTCTGCTATGATGCTTGTATATAGGGATGTTCTGACAGCAAGGGAATGGGGGGGGCGGTCAGCAGACCCTTAGCCCTGAATCCCTACCCCCCCCAGAAGAGGGACCATGTATTATGTGTTTTTTCCTCCTGGTCAACACCCTCTGCTCTTTCCTTTTCTCCCTCTCCTGATCGACTCGGCACTGGCCCCAGCTGGTCCTCAGAAAAAAAGAGGATTGCCTGTTCTGAAGTGGCAAGGATGAAGCCACACTTCTCAGGAGCCCTTCCCTTAATATGTAATTTTTAAAGAAACTAGTGAGGTAAGATCTTTTCACTATTCTGCTCAAAAAAAAAAAAAAGTAGGCTCAACATCTTTAGTGAACAGGGACTCCAAATTAAAACCACAATGAGATACCTGCACATCTATCAGGGTGGATAATGTGAAACATATGGACAATATAGAGGGTTGGTGAGGATCTGAACAACTGGAACTCTCAAGTATTGCTGGTGGGAGTGTAAACAAGTGTCACCACTCAGGATGATCATTTATCAGTGACTTAGGCAAAGCGTATGTCTTTTGACCCAGCAAATCTACTCTTATGCATGAGTATTTGTAGCAGTGATGTTCATTATAGCCAAAACAGGAAACTAATCCAAATGCCCATCAATAGGTATCAAATGGGTAAATATTTACGCAATGAGATACTACACAGTTTTTCAAGGACTGGACCACTGATCTGAGAAGCCAGACACAAACAGGTATATGCTGTAGGCTTCCATTCCTTTTTTTTTTTTTTAATTTTTTTTTTAATTTTTATTTATTTCTGATAGTCACAGAGAGAGAGAGAGAGAGAGGCAGAGACACAGGCAGAGGGAGAAGCAGGCTCCATGCACCGGGAGCCCGATGTGGGATTTGATCCCGGGTCTCCAGGATCGTGCCCTGGGCCAAAGGCAGGCGCCAAACTGCTGCGCCACCCAGGGATCCCTAGGCTTCCATTCCTATGAAGTTCAAAGATAGGCAAAACTGGTCTAGGGTGATGGTGGTTAGAATAGTGGTGATCTTAGGGACAATACTCTGGAGTAGGGCTAAAAATGTTGATCTGGTGGTGGTTACATAAAAATGTGAGTCAGGGGGCGCCCGGGTGGCTCAGACGTTGAGCGTCTGTCCTGGGATCAAGTCCCACATCGGGCTCCCTGCATGGAGCCTGCTTCTCCCTCTGCCTATGTCTCTGCCTCTCTCTATATATCTCTCATGAATAAATAAATAAAATCTTTAAAAAAAATTAAACGCTTAGGATTTGTTTAAACATTGCTGAGTATAAGTTAATCCTTGGTTTAAAAAATATATAGAAAAATAGGAATCTATGTATCTATGTACTATACTATATCTAGGAACTGGGCCACCCAGGAATTAAGCTAATTCATGGGAGTCCTGACCCCCAGGTCTGTGCGAACCCTCTTTGTTTTGCTCGGCACCAGGCCCCGCCCTGCTATCTTCTCAGACCCTACGTGATGGCAGTCTAAACCTGTATGGCCAGGCCGGGAGGATGGCAAGACGGGAATGGGTGTTTCCTGTGTTCGTGCTCTTTGTCCTCTGTCCTAATTAGACCCAGGACTAATATTTACCTTGCAGAATGCAAACAGAAAATGGGGAGGGATGGGAGCAGGGCTCGGTGAGGGGCAGGGCAGGAGCAGCAGCCACTCTAGGCCTGGCCCCAGCTGGACAGGCAGGAGGAGAGGGAGGGACCCTGCGGAGAAGACCTGAGGACTTGGGCTGGTCCCCATTCTGGGGCGGCAGCAGGTCCTAGGAGCTGAGAGAAAATAGACCAGAGACTCAGTGGCCCTGGACCTGGCTCCTCCTCCTAAGCAGCCACGACACATGGACACACCTCCACAGCTTCCAGATGGGATAGTGGTTGAGAGGCAGCTCTCTTTTGGCTGCACCCTTGTCTCTGCTTTCTTACACCCATGTGCTATGATTACATAAACCTCCCCATTGGTTTATATCCATATACCTGTTGCTTATTGAACATGTACTGCATTTTATGGGTGTCACATTCATAATCTAGTCTGAGTCCTCACAACAAGGTACCGTTCCCATTGTACAGATGGAGAAACTGAGGCTCACAGAGATTAAAGCAGCCATCACCATTTGTTGGGATTGGAAGGACCCTTGGGAAGATCTTGTGGCCCTGCTTGCCCAAGTTGGCCCACATCTCAGAAGGGAGGGGCTGGACGATGGTGGAAACTTACACTGGCCTTTCCTTTGTGACTTCCTCCCAGACCATCTGTCTCTAGTCCCAAGAGGATCTGTCTTCCTGGGTGGCGGGGGTGGACTGTACGCTAGTACCATGGCCCTGACCTGCTGACCTCCCCCTCTTGGCTAATTTCTTCATGTTAGTTCAACATTAACCCAGAGTGGTCAGGACAAGACCTCAGAGTCCCGGGAGCTGATACACTATGGCGCACATCCGAGGCCTGTGGTTACCTGGCTGCCTCGTCATCCTCTTTAGCCTTGCGCACAGCCAGCATGGTAAGAGGGGGTCAGAGGCTGGGACAGGCTGCCAGGCTGGGATATAGGCCCATGGGCCGGGGGCTCCTGGCTTGACTGAGAACAACAGGGCCAATGCCCAGGTGGGTCTCAGCCTACACCATGGCTTAGGGAAGGAGCCGGGTGCTCAGGTCTGGATGCACAGTGACTGCGTCTCTCCTGCAATGTGGAGAGCTAGTGGACCACCACTGGCAGCCTTTTGGGTCCTGCCACCATCCCAGGTGTCCCCTTTTGGAAGCCAGGAGGGCAGGGTAACTCGCTTCCTGCCCCCACAATGGCCAAGACAGCCTGGCTGACCGAGGCCACTGTCCCATGCCCCTCCTGCCACAGTGTTCCTGGACCCTCAGCAAGCACTATCACTGCTCCACCGGGTCCGACGCGCCAACAGTGGCTTCCTGGAGGAGGTGCGCAGGGGGAACCTGGAGCGAGAGTGTGTGGAGGAGCAGTGCAACTACGAGGAGGCCTTTGAGGCCCTGGAGTCTTCTACTGCCACGGTGAGGGCCAGGCTGAAGGTCAGGTGTGGTCCCTCCTGGTGGGCCCAGCTCCAGAACCACAAATGAGGCACCAAGGGATGTCCCAGCTCTTCAGCTGTTGGCAATGCAGTGTCCAGGGGGATTTCATTTCACTGGGATGCCAAGATGAGTAACCTTAGCCTTTCTTGGAGGTCCTGACGCCTGGGCTATGTCAGGGTCTGGCAGCCTAGTGAGGCTCCAGGTCATCGGGGGCTCCTCTGTCATCAGATGGCTGTCTGCTCTGGGGTCTCCGGAGGCCCTGGCGCTGGCCCACATGGCCTCTCAGCTTTAGCTATCTGCTACTATGG